AAAAAAAAAAAAAAAGAAAGAAAGAAAGAAAAGAAAGGAGGACTCGGGTCTCATGAGGTTGCTGATAAGTCATTCTGGACACTTCAAAGCATCACAGAGGACAGAGGCCCTGAGCAACTTAGCAAGACCCTGTCTCTAAATAAATTATGAAGAAGGGCTGGGACCATGGCCCAGTGGTTAGGTGCCCCTGGGTTCGAATAAAAGAGCTAAACTAGGAATTACCATACGACCCAGCAATTCTATTCCTAGGTGGACACCCCCCAAATTGAAAATGGGTGGTCAGACAAATACTTGCACACAAACGTTCCTGGCAGTGTTATTCACGACAGCCAAAACATAGGGACCACCGAAATGTTCACCAACAGATAAACAAACACAATTCAGTGTATCCATGGACTGAAATATTATTCTGCCATAAAAAAGGAGTGGAATTTTTCTGTGAACTTAAAACAACTCTAAAAAAATAAGGCTCATGTCTTAAAAAGTAATGAAGAGCGAAGGACTGGCTCAGGCTGCCATTGGAGGGATCTTGAAAATAGGACGTGGAGGGAAGAGGCACACACATACCTTGGGATTCCTCTGGAAGGTGAGGGGCTAGCACAGGCTGATCTGCAGGCGGAGAGAAACTGGTGCTGGCCCAGGGGCTGGGGAGAGGGGTTGGGGGTGACCACTTAGCAGGGCTGAGCGTTCTTGGGGTGATGGAAAGGTTTCAAATCTAGAACAGCGAATGCCTGTGTGCCCGTGAGCTACAGTTGGGAGGTGATGGATCACACGTGGCTTGCACTCTCCAAGAGCAGAGGGCTGGGATCCCGCTGGCTGCCACCCCCCTGCCCATGTGCCCCGATGGAACCTCTGCCACACGGTGAACTGCCCAGGGCGGGACCCATGTGGCTTTGAGCTGACCGCAACCTCTGGCCAGCAGCTCACGAGGAGCTGGACGCTGCCCACACCCACGTGGGCGAACCTGGAGGGGGTCATCTCCCCGGCGCCCAGATGGCCAGGCCCTGACTGCTGTCCGACAGTGGCCTTGCCTGCCTTAGGGCAGGGCATCGGGGTGGGCATTGCTGTTCAGAGGAGCAACAGGGGGCATGGCGGGGCCCCCGTCCCAGGCCACCTGGACCAGCGGGAGACAATAAAGTGCCCCGCCTGGACCCCGAGGTCTGGGAAGGATCCTCCGTGGCTCTGGGCGTTGCTCTCTGGGTCTCCATCTTGTCCTTCCTTTTTCATGGAAGGCCATCTGCGTCTGGTCAGCAGGACGTGGGGGACCCACTGCCCCCTTTCCTGCCTGTCCCTGAAGGCTGCCTGGCAGCTTTTCTCGGGAGCCTGTGGGTCTCCCTGAGGCTCCTTCATCCCAGGAAAGTTCCACCCGTGATCTCTCCGGGTTGAGCTCTTTCCCATCTGGCCCCTCGCGGGGCGGCTGAGGGCCTGCCCCGGGCTCCTGGAGGGGCCGCGGTCACTGGGTCACCTGGGAGGCACACCCAGGCCTCCGTGCAGGGATCTGTTCCTGGGTCTCAGCCACCATGTCGCCCTCATCTCCAGATCACAGCTCGAGGCTCAGAAGCCATTTTTTAATTTTAGCGTCTTTTCTCTCTGGAATTTTTGAAATCCGCGGGCCACACGGCCAGACCCACCTCAAAAAAAAAAAAAAAAAAGAAAGAAAGAAAAGAAAGAAAAGAGCGGTCAGCTTGTCGTGAGCTTGGGTCACAAAGGGGGCGGGCACCCCTGCCTCCCTCTGTGACGTCTGTGTGTCTGCCCCCGCTGTCCAGCTCGTCAAGTGGGGCTCTGAGGTCCACAGAACCCGCCCAGTCCTGACCACCCAAGTCCCCAGGAGAGACACCTTTCCAGCGTCAGGGGTCACTAGTCTGAGGAATTCCCTCCCGCCGGCCACAGCGGACTTTGGTCCGGATCAAGACAAAATGAAAACGAGTGGGATCCGCGTGCAGGTCGCCAGGAAGCCGTGGTGCGTCCACCCAAAGGTTTAGAGAAAAGTCTCCGAGCACCAGTCAAACTTTCTGCCACTTGGACTTTGTTTCCTGCCCTCTGGCCCGACGACACCGCAGCCCAGGCTTAGCCGGGAAGAGCTCTGCTCCCCATCCCAGACTGCAGGGCCGGCCACCTGGACAGGACAGAGGGCATGCGGCAGGAACCAGCCTCCGCACACCCTGGCCCCGCCAGCAGGATTTTTTTTTTTTTTTAAAATCATTTGTTTTCTTTTACATCCACGGGTCAAGACGCTCACTGACTTTCGTAAAAGCGAGATTCAGAAGCAACGCTGGCGTCCACCCATCCAAAACCAGCAGCCTGTCCCCAACAGAAACCACATAAAGCATCTTGCTTAGGGCTAACAGCAAGATGCTCACTGAGACCTGACCCTTGTCCAGGCTGACTTGGTAATAGTGAACTTTCTCCTCCCGTCGCTCTCTGGCCCTCCGCGGCTTTGCTCTGGTGCGGAACTGAGACCTTTCCCATGACTGAGGCTCATCCCAAACCCCACAGTGCCGACCATGACCAAGACAGCAACGACAGCCGACTGGCCTTTGGGTGATGCTTTGCTGCCGTCCGTGTGTCCAGAATGTTCTGTCCGGTGCCTCTTTCCACAGTCTGTGTCCAAAATGTGCAGTCACCCTTGAGTGGGCTCACCAGCCCCCGGAACCTTGCGGAAAGGCTCTCCGCGTAGGCACCTGTCCCCTGGAATCAGGTGACCTTTTATTGATGACATGCTTTCCACCTCGGATACCCTGAGCCTATTAAAGAACTCTCTAAAAACACCTGTTGGAGCTATTTGGACTTTTGAGCCAACAGAGTCCCATTTACAAACTTTACTAAAACCTGTTTGTGGAACTTCTCAGTCTCTTAATAGTAAGTGGGGTCCCTGCAGCACCAGCCCGTGGAGCTCTGTGGGGGGCAGCTCTGGGCTCCCTGCAGACCTGGCCATGCCCATGTAGGCCACACAAGCAGACAGGGACCATGGCCGCTTGGAGTGCTGATGGCCGCATCGTGGTCCCCAGAGGAGGGGAGCCCTCAGGAGCCGCTAGGAGGCCTCGTCTCCCCGGGTGGCTGTCAGGAGTCATCTGGGGTCACCTCCAGGTTCCTGCAAGGCCTGAGGCTTGGAATCCAGCCCTGGAGTGTAGAACAGGTTCCTCGCCTACTGGGTACCCCACAATCCCCTCTGCAGGGGACCTCGACATTCCGGGTCATCCCTTCTGGTGTGTAGGACGAGGACCTCAGGACCCCGCACCTCGGCTCATTCTCCTTTTCTTATACAAAAAAAAAAAAGGTGTCATTCCTGATTCCAAGAAAGAGGAGTGGCGGGGCCGGGGTCAGGGGGGCCGTGAGGGAGGCCTCTCCAGGACTCTGCACCGGCCCAGCTCCAAGCAGCTGCCTCCTCCTTGAGACTCTCTTTTCCTCTTAGCAATGACCTCAAGCCTAGTTCTACCAGAACGGCCACCGCTCGCCAATCAGAGCTCACCGCTCCCGCAGGCGCTGCCAGTGCCCAAGAGCTGCTCTCAAAGATAATTTGCCCAGCTTTCTGTCCTGATAAAGCCCTCAGGCTTCTCTGGACACACCAGAGGCCACCCTGGCCCCAGCATTGCAG